TTTAAAAATACTAAAAATAAAAAGTCTTTGCCCTGACATTAAAAAGCTAAAAATAAAAATAAATAAATAAATAAAAAGCGAGCCCTAACTCAAGGGCAGTCGATGCACAGAAGAGGCTGTGACAAACCTATGCCCAAATATTCAAAGATAAACTAGGCTATCACGTTCAAACTCAAAATTCGGAGTTAGAAAATCAGAAGAGCGAGCCAGTGTAATTTAATGTTATAAGGAAGTACAAAAGGTGAGGTACAGGGTAAAGGCCAATCAGTAGGAGAAAAGGCAAATGAAGAAGTCAGTGAGAAGCCTTTACCAATCAAGACCCGGCCCCACAGCTGTCTGAGGTCCTGATTCTCTGGGTCCTGAACCCGCTGGGTTACAACTTTCCTCAAATATACCCCAAAGTCCAATAAAAGAGCATAATGTGCCCAAATAATTTAGACATATTCTGGAACTTCATAATAAAAGAATTTAACCTATTCTTGATAGACTCCTATAACAAAGTGACAGGCAAAGAGTGCAATTTTTTTAAAGCCCAAGCTCCCTGAGCCCAAAGCCCAGCTCTGCCATTTACTACCTGTAGGGCCCTAGACAAGCTATTCAATTTCTCCAAGCCTCATGTATCTCATGTGTAAAATGGGTACAATCACAGTGCTCCAAAGGGTTATTATGAGCAATAGGCGAGATGGTGAATGCGTAGTAGTCAGCAAGGATAGCCATCAGTGTTGTTGGATGATGATCACAATTGTGATGATGATAATGATGATGAGTTTCTCTTGCACACTGTATAATGGTTCAACAGAGAAATAAATGAACTTTAAATTTAAACCAACTCTCTAGCCACTTATCACCAGTTTGCTCACTTAAAATAGGTAACTATTACAGTTAATATTTTAAACACCGGATGCATTGCTTGGAGACAATTTGGAATGGAAAAGAATAGATATGGAAGCAGAAACCCAGAACTGTTTCTTTCCTTATAACCTCGATTATGGTTGCCTTTCCATCACCACCCACTGATTCTAGATCTCATATACAAGCCCTGCCCCTTTTCCCCATTTTCTCTGCAAACAGTATAACTCATGCTCTCAATACTCTTCCTGGGGATTTTATGAGGGTCTCATCATTGAACCTCCTGCCTTCTCATACATGCATCCTTTGCACTGCTTCAGAAGATCCTCCTAATTCATGGTCATCCCCAACTAAAAACTCTTCTATAGAGTACCACTGTATGCTTAATAAAGGTTTAAACTGTGTTACAGTGATCATTACAATCTTTTGCAATCTGATCTCAGCTCCTGGCATCATTCCCTTCTGTTACCCACTAACTTTCCATGGCCCTTTCTAATATGTTCATTCTCCCTGGCTATTTTTCTCTGCCTTGAGGTCTCTTTTAACTTAGGTGACTAGGTGAAAATCTCACCTATTTTGTAAGGCTCAGCTCATTGTTTTTTCTTTATGAAATATACCTAATTCCTTTATTAAGAATATTTTTTCTACGGTAAATGAGTAATGTGTATTTCTACTATAACACATCCCATTCTACTAGAAATCTATGATTGTATCTTTTTTTTAAAAAAGCTATAGCTACATTTTAAGTGAAGAGGAATGAAAAAAATGATTGTAAATTTCATCAACAAGGTAACTGGTTCGAGAAAAATATTGGTAAACATATTTGAAACTTCTACATCATATATTTTAATGTCCACATGTCCCCATCAACAACCTGATTCTAAGGAGATTAAAAGGATTCTGTTAACTAGGAGAAAACAATCATTTACACAGCAAAGACTGTCTCTATTTCAATGTGGCTAACTTTCCTAACCCCTATGTCATCTCTACTCACTACAATGCCAGGCCTTCCTGGTGCCCTTGAGCACAAGTAAGACCAGAGGTCGGGGGCTATCAGCCCTTTTTAAGTAATTCTCAGTGAGTTATCACTGTGATCCAAACTAGCAGAGGATCCCTGTACCTACCAGTTACACAGAAGTCGTACAATACTGACGGACATTTTTCCAGGGAAGATATCTAGGTGGCCTGCAGGTGCACAGAAGGGTGCTCAGCATCACTGGATATTAAGGGGGTGATTAGGCCTATGGTGAGGTGTCACCTCACACCTGTTGGAATAGCTGTCCTCATTAGGGGGGTGGGAGATGGCAAAGCTGGCGGGGATGTGGGGCAGGCCTTGTGCACTGTTGGTGGGAATGTGGGTTGTTGCACCCACTACAGAGAACTGTGTGGAGAATTAGGGATGGAGCTGCCATGTGTCAAGTGGCTTACTTCTGGATGTATGTCTGAATGAAACAGAACCACTGTCCCAAGATGATGTCTGCACCCCCATGTTCACTGCAGTGTTGTTTATGGTGCCCAGGACACGGCGGCAGCCTGGGTGTCCATCGGCAGATGGGTGAGTGGAAAGGATGCAGAGTGCGCAGGTGGTGACACACTGTTTAGTTAGACAGGAAGGCAAGTCCCGCCATTTGCGATGACATGGATGGATTTTGAGGGCATTGTGCCAGGTGAAGTGGGTCTGCCAGAGAAAGACAAATACTGTATAATCTCACTTACATGTGAAATCTTAAAAAAAAAAAAACACTCATAGAAACAGATCAGATTTATGGTTGCCGGGGCAGGGGGCAGGGGAAGGGGGATTGGGCAAATGTCATAAAAAGGCACAAACCTCCAGTTATAAGATAAATAAGTTCTGGGGATGTGATGTATGTGAGGACTACAGCTAACAATACTACAGTGCATATCTGAAAGTTGCTAACACAGCATATCTTAAAAGTCTTCATTATAAGGAAAAGGGAAAAGCGTAACTGTGTGAGGTGATAGATGTTAGCTCAACTTGTGATAATCATTTCACAACATATACATATTTCAAATCATGATGCTGTGCACTTTAAACTTACCCAATATTATATGTCAATTATATCTCAATAAAACTGGAAAAGAGAAAAAACATACAATAAGTACTACTTTGCTAATTAAAGTCTACAGCATGACTCCACAGTTACTCACACAAAGCTGTAAATACAGAATTGCAAAATGACCACAGGACAGCCAAAAGAGTATTTATGTTGATAATGTGAGAGTTGGAAGGAGGAACAAATTAAAGGATCCGAACAGCTTCAAGGCATCGTTCATGTATGCACAGCATACTGCCAGACACAGGTGCACACGTTTGAACCTGTTCCCGAATAAATCTTGTTCGACATTCACTTCATTACTATCGGAAAGCAACAACATATGCCTGTTGGCAAGAGGTTCTCTCTCCATTTGGGTCACTGGCAACCTTTATATAGAGACCAGTTGGCAGACTCCAGGGCCTCATGCATGGATTTCAGATCTGATATTTGTTGTGCATGTGTCTCTTAATGTTACAGGACAACATTCTGCTCACAAGCCATTACCGTGTGTTTAAGTCAGATCAAGTACAAACACACACACACACACACACCACACACACACACACCTGGGAGGGAGGGGAGATCCGTAAACTGATCAGGGGAAAATGTCATTTTCCTTACTTCTCCAGGCAAACAGGATGACTTGGAACAACCACTACTCTTTTATTCTTTCCTTATTATGTCCCAGGTACCCTCTACTCTACAGGCTACACTGTCAAATACACTACAGTCCAGGGTAACAGGGGTCTACTGATGAAACACAGCAATCCTTTTGCCACCTCCTCAAAGCAAAGGCCAGCGTCCCCAAGGGCTATGAGGTTTCTCAGGAAGATCGTACAACTGTTCAGAGCACTGGCAACTTCAGGTCCCCCCTTTCAGGATCCATAGCCAGAACCACTGGGCGCCTCATCTCTGGTTTCACTGCTGGTTAGAAAAGACTGAGGGAAAGAATAAATCCCCCGACACGCTCCTCCCAGGGCCCCAGCTGTGTGACCGCATCAAGTCCCGAGTGAAGAGCCAAGAAATCCCCCTCAGCCTGGACCCTCCACATAAAGTACTGGATAAGCCACAGTCTGTCTTCTGGGCAGCTCTGGCCTCTTCCTCATTTGCACATCAGTGTATTAAATATACAGACTCCTCCAGCCATCACCTTCCTTCCTTCATTTCTGTATCAGAGTGTTTCTCCAGGTGTCTGCTGGAGAAGATCATCAAGAGGACATGACTGCAGGTTGACCCACGGGCTGCCTCCCGGCAACCAGAGGCTCCTCACCTCCCCTAGGTTCTTGGAATGTACATTTTACCCTCTGTTCCCAAATGGGAGCCATTTCAAGCGCAGCCTGGAGACAGCAATGTGGCATTCAGACCACCATTGCAGGGTATCTGTGACTGAACCCCATTAAGACCACTATAGAAACTTTAAGATTCTGGAGGGTGGATGCGGGAATCTACTGGACTTGTGGCCACCCCATCAAGCCTCATAAGTGCCCTGGCTTTATTACCTCTGCCACCTGCCACCCGGAGTCGCTGCCTCCCACTTCGCTGCCCTCCGGGTACCATGGCCAGTTTTCAGATTTCAGCCAGGGGCCCCCGAGGGTACAACGATTGGTCCGCCCACAAAAGCTCTGCCAAATTTTGTTTTTATTTATTGCTTGTACTTCACCTTGTGCTTTAAAAAATGTATTTGAAATTTATCTAAATTATTATTTATATCATGCTTCATTTTTTAAAATATATATAAGGTCAATAACAAAGATACACTAAATTTCAATGATTAGAAAATCCCAGAGAAACAAAAATAACAGAAAAAATAAGATCAGGCCTTATATACAGCCAGGTAATTACAATATCTGTTTGTCATCTCTTACACCTCTGTTCAAGGAAGTCCACAGATAGGGCCTCTGAGCATCCTAGTGTTTGTGGGAAAATGCAACTGATTATAAGACATACCGCGTCATAAGTAAACTTTATAAGACTTCACTGGCTTGGTGTGGGTATTTTCATATGCCAATGGTAAAGGCGATGAACAAAACAGCCTGAAAAACACAACCGTATTTCTATGGAATTCTTTATTAAATAATATAGAACAGGCACGAAAAAAACCCTGTAGCATAAGTTTTCATAAGTGAACCATGTAGGTGGACGTCAGGATTCGGTCATGAGAGTCACCGTTGTAATGACAGAGCCAGCGGCATCGAGAGCTAGGTTAGTCGTCTTGCCAATGGGCGAGACTGTGCCCGTATGTCTATGGGCGAGACTGTGCCATTGAGCGGTCAACGTGACAGGAATGGGAAAGAAGGCTGTGCTGATCACAGAACCCATGGTGCAAAGACAAGACCGGCTGTTACTCGAGCAGGAGTCAGACGTAATCAAGAATAAATTTGCTGAGATGTGATTAGGTTTTGTGGCTATTCCTTTACAGGTACTTTTAAAGCTCTTATTATTGAAATTCCTACAGGAAAAAAATATGTAATTAGAGATCTGAAACTCCTGAATTTCATTTTCCCAATGAAATCATTATTCTTGTAACTAAGATTTTGACAGAAAAAGGTTTCTCAGGGTACAACTATCACATTATAGCACAGACTGTAAAGCTAAGTAACCCTATTTTTCAAAGCAGAAAGAAGGGTATCTGGCTTAAAAAATATCTGAATTTGAAGGTTTATTTTTATAAGATATTATAATTTTGCACATACAAAATTAATTTGATTTCCTATTTAACGACTACTTTAAAAAGTTTGATGAAGTTAGCATTGCCACAGAAAAATCTGGAATGTATATTTGGCTAAAGGTGGATCCACTTTCAAGCGGTTAAAAAAACAAACAAACAAAAAAAAAGAGCCCGCCCTAGTTTTTCACAAAAATCGACCCCTGTTAACATCTCTCGTATGTGGTGGGTGGCTGTGCTCAGGCCTTGGCTCTGCCATTCGCTAGCAACCTTGGACAAATCACTTAGCTTCTCAAATTTTCACCTCTTCATATGTAGAATAAAAAGTGTTGGACTACCTGGCCCATCATCTCCTTAAAATTCTGTGACTCTGTAGGCTTTTGAAAAGATCACCCTTCCCTCACCAGTTCCCAGCCCGGGTGCAGATGTTTAACTACCAGAAACCACAGACCCTGGCAGGTTTTAAATCAAGTTCTTGTGCCAGGGAGAGTTCCTACAGCCATCCTCTGATGGCTAGCACTTTAATTTCTAACACAGATCAATTTAGCCTCACTGAATTTCAAACCTTGGCCTGCTCTCACCTGTAATTTTCATATGACCCACAACCAACTTATATCACAGCTACCTGTTCTCCAGCATGCTTGCTCATCTCCTAGGCTGAACTACTGTCTGGGATGCTTGCTTTAATACTTCATGCTGCCTTTTTACATAGCACTCGGTTTATTAAATCTTGGGTCTTTACAGAAACATTTCAGAAAAGGCTATCTTACCTCTTGTTAACTACTCCAAAATAAATCTTGTAGTTGGGTGATTTATTTTGTGGAAATACCCTGGAAACAAAGTTGATGCTCAGGAAACTGGTCTGCCAGGAATATAAAGATTTTTACACAGATTCACATCTAAAAATCAACAGTAAATGTGAAATAGAAGTTATCACCACTTACCTTCATAAACAATACTTTCCCTCATTTCCCTTACATACACCATAAAGGGATGAAAAGAATCATTTTTGTTAAGTACTTGGTATGCTTACATTTAATAAAAAGCCTATCTATAAAATGCACTAGCAACCAGTCTATCCCTCCTCATTGGCCAACTCTGGGGCTGTCATTTATCCCCTAATGTTCTCAGGGGTTTGAGGGCAACCTGTATCCACACCAAAACCGTCCATACCCAAGATCCACTAGTTAGTTGCAAATGTAATCAATAGAGATTGAGGAATTACAGAATCATTTCCAAATTTACCTTGACAGGATCCAAAGGCAATATCATTAGAAAAGGAACAAAAGCATGTTTAAAAGGGAGGAAAGCATTCTGTCAGTGAAGATCAAAAGGTTTGTGCAAAGTGCACTCCATTGCATAAGGGGTTTTAAACGTCCGTATGTTTGAAAACCCAGTTACGGCTGCTTGGAGGTCTTCCCAGACAGAATGCCCATCACCAGTGGCGAAAGACCTGTCTCCTTCCGACATTATCCTACGCAAAATAGTTCACAGGAGACTTAATGGTTGTGATAATGCAATGCAGAACTAATCTTCCACACAGGGCTTGGTGATGTCAGCCTACCATATGTTCTCTTTAATACTGTTCCATAATGAGCATGAGGTAACTAAAAATCATCAATAACCACTTAAGGAGCAGGTTCCCGTGGGTCCTTAATTGCTGGACCATGTGGTTCTGTCCTTGGAACTAGATAAAAGGAAGATGTTCCTTAGCTCTAAGAACTTAAGTGAGATCTTGCAAGACATCTGACAAAGTTGAAGATGAGATGTAGATAGAAAAGATACATGATGTTTTAGAATTAGATTTTACAGCTGTACACCATAGAACATTGGTTAATGAGTCAATGAAAAGTTGGTGGCAAGTTTCTAACTAAAGTGAGGCCTCAGGGCGCCTGGGTGGCTCAGTCTTTTAGCATCTGCCTTGGGCTCAGGTCATGATCTCTGGGACTGAGCCCCGCATCAGGCTCCCTGCTCAGCGGGAAGCCTGCTTCTCCCTCTCCCACTCCCCCTGCTTGTGTTCCCTCTCTCGTTTCTCTCTCTCTGTCAAATAAATAAATCTTTAAAAAAAAATAAAGTGAGCCCTTGTGGCTCTGTCCTCTGATGTGATGAGCTTCAAGTGACACATGTCATATATCTAAGAGTGAAAGGAAATGTACCATATAATCCGGCACATTAAAAAATCCAACATTGTGGAAAGCTGAATGGCATTTAAGAAAACGTAATTAAACAGATTTAAACATGAAACCAGGGTTTGGGTTTAAATAATCAAAACACCAAAGCAGAACTTGAAGAGGGTCCAGTTATACAGCAGCTTCTCTGAAAAATTAACCTAGAGTCTTCCTTTGATTGCAAGCTCAATATGATCTAAATGGGTAAGGGGGTTGATCAAACAAAAAGCTGTTGAAAACATTCATGCAAAAGAGAATTATAATTATCTAGGAAAGAGGTAGCAGACATTCCACTGTACTCTCTACTAGTCAAGCCATCCCTGTGGTTGAATTTTCTTATGGAAACTATATTTCACCCCAGAATCTAGAGGTATATTCTTCCACAATACAAAGCAAAATTAAACCTTGTTTCTCTTGGCACACAGCAAATGTTTTCATTAATCCATTATTTTATCTCTATTTAGTTTGGCTTTTCCATGATTCCTATATTAAATGTGTTCTTCTTTAGTGGATTTTTCCTTCTGTTCTTCTTAACTATTTCCTCCAGCAGATATCAAAAAACAACTAAAGAGACATTTAAAATATACATGTTATTTTGTTGCCCACTTCAGATCCTCTCTATCAAAAATGAGAGAGTCTCAGTTGGTTAAATGTCCAGTGGCTCGGTCAGTTAAAAGGGGAAAGATTTATGCAATCTGAAGAGAAACCAGAGTATTGGCTCGGTCAGTTAAATGTCCAACTCTTGATTTCATCTCAGGTCATGATCTCAGGGTCATGAGATGGAGCCCAGCACTGGGCCCTACACAGTAGGGCTCCTTGCTCAGTAGGGAGTCTGCTTAAGGTTGTCTCTCTTCCTCTGCCTCTGCCCTTCCCCCCCAGCTCACACACTAATAAATAATCTTTTTTAAAAAAATGAGAGTCTAATCTAAGAAGGAAGGTATTATATTCAGCCAGTCACTTACCCATTGTGCTTTTGCTTATTGAACTGAAAGTCATCACTTTGTTTGCAGAACCTCTTAGCTTCCTTTTGAGGGCGGAAGTATGCTAATGAACATTACTGACAATATACTGAATGTACCGCATTATAAAACAATGGTTGAGAGAATGAGCTTGGAAAAAAAAAAAAAAAAAAAAATCTGGGTTTGATTCCTGGCTCTGCAACAGGCAGCTTAGCCTTGGCATGTTCCTTAAATTCTCAAATCTCTAACTAGTTTAAGGATTAAATTATATAGCATATGTAAAGTGCTTAGCACAATGCCTCCTACCTGGTAAAGAAAAATGCAGTTTAGCTATTATGTTGTTATTGATGTTCTTATTAGTGTCATTATTATTACTATTACTTATTCCCTTATACATTCTACGAGACTAAGTTTTAGATCTGGGATCTAGCAATCATTTCTGCTATTTTACTTCTCCATGTTTTTTACTAGTCTCACCTAATCCACAGTCTCTCTAACTGGAGAGAAGTAAGTAAACAACTATTCATGGGCAATTTTACTGGGCAGCTAGAAGCGTGACAAGCAATGTTTAAAAAGAAGCAAAATGAGCAATACAGCTTATATTCAGATATCCTAAGTTAGGGAATCAGAAGGTAATCATTCATTCACACACAGGAAAAAGATTTATGGTAATACAGAGATGAAAAATGATCAATGTCAAAGAGAAACATCAATAAAATGCTGGGGGGAGTTCAGCAGATGGAGGAAGAATTGTGTTGACTCAGGAAGGTTAAAACTGTAATGGACTGAGAGTGCAATTTAGTTTCTAAAATTGTCCTGGGGTTACTTTCATGCTGAATCTCCCTCCCACCTGCTGCACCCTCAGCCTCCACTCCAGTCCTGACGTGTCTATGGGATTAACTTTTAAACATTTATTCCAAAAAATATCAAGTGGTTTTAAAAGGTAATCATATGAGACACAGTCATGAAAACTGTAAGCACAGGGCTGGAATTAAGTGAGGCAACAGCCTGTTAGAGCTTCTCCAGGGGAGACCAACAAGTAGGGAAATGGATCTGCCAACCACATCATGTGCGACAGGGCTAGATGAAACAGAAACATTAATCCTGGAAAAGAGAAGGCTTGGGAAGCCATGACTGTTATTTTTGTATAGGCAAAGTGCTCTTGTGTGAAAGAGGGCTTGGGTATCCTATGTAAATCTGGAAATGTAAATGAGAACCACGGGCAAGAGTGCCAGAAAAATAGATTTTATGTTAATGTAAGGAACGAATTTATAATGGTTTGCAGTGTCCAACCATGGTTTCCTCCTGAGGAAGTGGACTTCTTTCTACTGATGGAGGTTACCCAGAGGGGAGCTGGGAAGGGAGGAGTGAGTTAGATAATGTGCATGGTCCCTTCACACTCTGCTTAGGAAATGTCTAAGACAGTGAAACGTTTTCCTTTTAGAGAAAACCTAATTAATTGTGCAAACTGTTTTCAAAACTTGATTGTGGTGTAACTCTCCTATTTGCATATCTGTAAGCTAATGAGAAATGGAAATTTATTGAAGGCTTGACCTTCCTTGGAGAGTTTAGTTGGAATGCCAATAAAATAAAGCCTCTGAATCCTCCCCACAAATTGACATGAATAGGACCAAGGAAAAAAATTAAAATTTCAACTTCTGAACCATACAGTAGGGTGTCTGACATTACAGGAATGCAATAGATAGGCCATTTCCCCACCAGTCTTAGTTTTCATGGTCTCCCGCCAGGGACGGAGATTCATTCCAAAATGGTGAGCAGTGATGTCTGGGACTATGCCCTCCTGTCTGCCTCAGTTCACTCCCCACCTTGGGGGAAAGGATAACAAACACAAGGTTTTATTTTGCTTTGAAGGATCTTTCACAGAGAGGAAATTCAGTAGTTATAGCTTAGAAAGAATCTCCAAAGCAAGTCAACAAAGAGGTACACCTAGGTGCTCCTCAAAGGCATCGACCGCTACAGGACTCATTTGCGTCCCTCAGCTCTCCACCATTTACTTCTCAGGGCCTGCTAGACCTCTGGTTTTAACAGAAAAACTCTCAGTTGGTGAGATGAGGTTACTAAGATGAGAGTAACTTCCCAAAGTCTTTGTCTTCACAGGTGAAAATTTGCCACAGGTAATCTAGTGATAACTGGATGTGTCTCATCTGGATCCTTCCAATCTTTACTTGGAGTCCATTAGGACAGATATATTCAAAGTAACATCTAGGGGCTGGGGGACGAGAAAAGACTTGGAATGGGAGAATGGGAACTACTCTGTGAATTAGAAAACTTGAGTTCGTGTCCCCACATCTATAATCTTGGCTAAGTCTGAGACTGAGGTTTCTCATCTGCCCTACACGCTAAGGATAATAACTCCCACAGGATACCGGTGAGTGCTTCAAAGAAATGATATCTGTAAAAGCACTTTGTAAAGTTTGAAATGTCCCTAAATGTTAGGCTATGGCAATCTTCTCTATGCCTAATAATCATGATTTGACTCTTTAAATCTCAATAATTTAGCAATGATTTGAAGTAATACTTTATATTTTCTCAATTTTGTGTAAGAATATCAAAACTACCTGCACAGGTAGTATGATCCATTAACAAGATTATTAAAGGGCCACTTGGAGTTTTAGATCTCTTTATTAGTACAGAATATGTTCTTTTTATGTTGTAACTTAGCTTTCTTAGGTCTACAAAAAGTAGTCCTTGATATTTATCTGTTTTGATAAGTTTCTGTGAAAGTTCTACATAAATAGCAATTATAATATTATGGTCTCATGAACACTGTTTGGCTCTGCAATGTTTAAGCAAAATAAAAGCCATAACCACAAAGGAACTTGCTCAGAAATCTACTGGTGGAATAAGTCAGTGATACACATTATATACATATTTTGTATATTTTGGTCTAGGTCCAAAATATGTATATTTTGGAAAGTATTTTAATCCCTAAAAAAAAATATACACCAGAGATCAAATGTTTACCTAGAATAAGCAGACACAGTTTTGGAAAGTATTTTAACCCCTTCAAAAGAAAAGGTAAACCAGAGATCAAATGTTTATCTTGAATAAGCAGATGACAGATGAGAAAAATAAAAGCTTTTCTGAATTCTCAGCTTGTAGACGGACATTATGAAGATAGCAGTGAACTGAAGAGTTAAAAATCTTTTCCCTTTAAAGAGTAATTAAGGTTTCCACCAATTGCAAGGGCAGTGGTTGAAACAGCAGAATCCATCCTCAGTCACAAGGTTGGCTAGCCGGGTCATAAAGATCATTCTAGACCATGTAATGCTTTAAAAATATCAATGCCACTCCTACCACACATATGCCCCTGGTGCCCCTCTGGGCATTAGAGTCAAAAGCTCTTTTGTATATTACAGGGTAATTGGTGGGGAGGGGCAAACTGAGCATTGCCCCCAAACAGCAGAACTCACTCAACTGACACAACTTTCCTTCCAAACTGTAGATTTTTTAAAGTAGCATAAGAAAGTCCACGGATTTTTGTTTCCTTTGAACAAACACTATGACCACTCTCTTTTTTTTTTTTAAAGATTTTATTCATTTTTTGACAGAGACACAGTGAGAGAGGGAACACAAGCAAGGGGAGTGGGAGAGGGAGAAGCAGGCTTCCCGCAGAGCAGGGAGCCCGATGCAGGGCTCAATCCCAGGACTCTGGGACCATGACCTGAGCCGAAGGCAGACGTTTAATGACTGAGCCACCCAGGTGCCCCGACCACTCTGTATTTTTTATAAAACAGGAAATTGCAATAAAAACAGACATGTCTTGTCAAAAGGCCCCACCAGTAGTTCTAGCTATAAAACCACTTCAAGAATCATCAGCTGAGTTATTCAAAGACCCTTTAATATACACAGATACAAAAGAAAGCAAACATTTCCACAAACATTATTAAATCATGGCATATTAGGAGTCATTAACAATCAGCAGGCAGGGGCACTGGGTTCTGCCAGTCTAATGTTCCAAACAATCAAAAAGGATATCCACGGGGCAATTAATTTCCTGCACATTGATTATTCTAATCTCCACACTAATAAGGAGGGTTAAATGAAATAAAATGAAAGAGCGCAGTGAGAAACTGAAGACTGAGCCCACTTGTAAGGGGTAGGGGGCGGGAGTGGGGGTTATAACCTCGGGAGATAAACTACCTCTCGCAGGTTACCGGGGGGAGACAGAAGTTACTCTAGCACCCTAACACATATCACGAAAGCTTAGCACTGCTTGGAAATCATCTTTTCGTCAACTATCCCCCTCCCACATGCGCAGAATACATGCATGTTGCACAAGCTGAGGAATTAGGACCCAGACAGATTGTCCAAGCCAACCAGCTAGTGACGACAAGAAGAGACGAGGGACTCCAGATTAGTCCAATGTACTTTCTACTCTGCAGGGGCTTACTCGGCTGCTTAATGCTCCTGGAATTAGAGCAAATGTCATTGCTATTAATTCAACAAGTGACACAAAGCAAACTGCAAAACCATCCCTTTGGTCTCGGTTTACAGAACTACTTACTAAAAAAATGTTAGTCAACAAATGTACTGACTCCATTGTAAAAATTTGAACCACAATTCTAACCCTTCCTTCCTTAATACCATCCTTAATCTGTCAGACACTTATTAAATGTCCACTAAATCTGTCAGGCGATGTGTTCATTTCTGTAGGGACATAATGCGAAATCAGACCCAGATCCTGTTATTAAAGAGCTCAAAAGATTTTTAAAAAAAGCGCGCGCACGTGCACACACACACACACACACACACACATACACAGTGATGCGGTGATGTGCTGGTAAGTGTTTAACAACAGTTAAGAAGGGAGAAAAGTGGGTGGTGGGCACTAAGGAGGGCACGTGTCAGGATGGGCACTGGGTGTTATATGCAACTAATGAATCATTGAATACTGCAACAAAGACTTATGATGTACTATATGTTGGCTAACTGAACATAATGAAAAACTAAAAATAAATTTAAAAATAAATAAAAAGAAGGGAGAAAAGGGTGAAGGAGCTCTGATTTACAGCATTTGCTAATTCCCATGCTGTTAGGACTCCTACCATGGCTGATTTCAGTCTACCAACCTGCCATCACTGAATGCAGACTTAGGGAGAGGTGCACAAGCCAGTCGAAGCTGACTCCAGGGTACCACTACTGGATTTACATTGATATTCATATTTGTATAAATTTACACACACACACACATATATAAAATAACTAACCAAATATTTTACAGTTATTATCTTAAAGTAATTGGATTATGATTGATTTTATTTCTTCTTTACACATTTTTTAGCATCCAACCTTTTTTATAGGGCATTTTTTTAATTTTTAACTTTTTGCCATTTTAATGGAGCAATAATTGACACATGCCACTGTGTATGTTTA